TGTGTGTGTGTGTGTGTGTGTGTGTGTGTGTGTGTGTGTGTGTGTGATATATGCACATGTTCCTGAGGTTGTGTGCATGTGTTCACACTACTGATGTGCATATGTGTGCACATGCATGGAGACCAGACGTTGACATGTTGTATTCTTCAATGACTTGTATACCTTGTTTATAAAAAATATTTTATTTTTTAAAATATTTGCCAGGTATGGTTGGCACACATCTTTAATCCCAGCTCTCAGGCACCTCTGTGAGTTCAAGGTCAGCCTGGGCTACAAGGGAGTTCCAGGACAGTCAAGGACAGTCAAGGTCACTTAGAGAGACCCTGTCTTTAAAAAGTGCGGTGGGATAGGTAGAGAGATAGCTGAATTGTTTAGAGCACTTGGTCTTCCGGAGGATCTGGGTTCAATTCCCATCACCCACAGAGCAGCTATAAACATCTTAACTCCAGCTTCAACCCAAATTCCCCCAGAGATCTGACTTCCTCTGGCCTCTGAGGACATCAGACACACACATAGCACACATACATTCATGCAAGTAAAACATACACATAAAATAAAATAAGTAAATCTAGACAAAAAAGTTTTAAAGGGTTTATTTTATTTTATTTATTGTATATTGTTATTTTGCCTGTGTGAGGGTGTCGGGTCCCCTGGAACTGTAGTTACAGACAGTTGTGAGCTGCCGTGTGCTCTTAACCACTGAGCCATCTCTGCAGCCCCTAAAGGATTTTTTTTAAAAAGATTTATTTGTTTATTATGTATACAGTGTTCTGTCTGCATGCATATCTGCAGGCCAGAAGAGGGCGCCAGATCTGATTACAGATGGTTGTAAACCACCATGTGGTTGCCGGGATTGAACTCAGGACCTCTGGAAGAGCAGTCAGTGCTCTTAACCTCTGAGCTATCTCTCCAGCCCCCCAAAGGATTTTTGAATGTTTTATTTTATGTGTATGAGTGCTTTGCCTGCATGTATCTGCACCATGTGCATGCAGTGCCTGAGGGGGCCAGAAGAGGGTGTCTGAACCCTGGACGGCAGTTGTACACCCACCCCCAACACAGATGCCGATCAAACCTGGGCTCTTGAACCCCAGAGAAACATCTCTGCAGACCCTAAATTTTTACATTACATTTATTTATTTCATGTGTGTTTGTGCACATGTATGAACATGTGTGTATGTGGAGGATAGAAGGCAGTTTTCGGGTAGGTTTTCTCTTGTATCTCACGGGTCCTAGGGACAGATCTCAGGTCATCATGCCCACAACACGTGCCTTTACCAGCTGAGCCATCGTTCTGGCCGCCACTTATGTTCAAGACAGAGTCTTTGAACCTGAAACTCACTGATTCAGCTAGACCTGCTAGTCAGTGAGTCCTAGAACTATAGAGGCAGAAGCAGGCAGGTCTCTATGACTTAGAGGCCAATCGGTCTACATAGTGAGTTCTAGGCCAGCCAGGGTTACACAGTGAATGTTTAAAAAAAAAATCTGTGTATTTGTATGTATATGTGCACATATATGTATGCATGTGTGTGTATATGTATGTATATAGAGAGAGCCTCTCTATTTAGAGTCCTGGATGTCTTGGAACTTGTCATATGGACCAGGCTGGCTTCAAACAGAGATCCGCCTGCCTCTGCCTCCTGAGTGCTGGGATCAAATGCGTACTCCTCCACACCTGGCCATTTTGTAAATGTCTTTAGTGTGGCAAAATACATACATTTACTATCTGGACAGTTTTTTGGACAATTGCAGTACAGGTTAGTGAACTTTGGCACACTCACCAGCTTGTGCCACCATCACTTCTACCTAGTTCCAGAATATTGCCATCACTGCAGGAGAAAACTCCCCTCCCGAGGCCGGGGCAACACTGATCTGCCTCCTGTCTCTGGTAATTGCCTGTTCACATTGTTCTGGTCGATAGTGTCCTGGGGGTGGCCCAACATCTTGAACTCATGATTGACCCAAGTGTGGCATGGGGCAGCGAGCTCTTCATTACTCTTCATGATCACATAGTATACTAGTGGGTGGGCGGACCACGTTTTGTTGACCTGTTTATCTATTCACAAACATTTGGGTGGTTTCTTTTTATTTTTAAATGTGTGTGTGTGTGTGTTTGAGCATGCATGCATGCACTGGTGCCTACAGAAACCAGAAGATATTGGCTCTTGCTGGAGCTGGAGTTACAGGTGGCTGTGAGCTGGCAGTGTGGGTCCTGGGAGCTGAATGAACTCCAGTCCTTTTTTAAGAACAACTGGTACTCTAATTGCTGAGCCAGCTCTCTGCCCACCCCCCAGCCCCCCAGGTTCTTCTGTGCTGTTGGGAATAGTATTGCTTCGAGCACCAAGTTTTCATTTGAACTAGGCTGTCTGAGTACTTCAGAGGTAGAAACAGGAAGATTTGAAATTCAGGGTTATCCTCAGCTACAGAGAGATCCTGGGCTACACAAGACCTTGTCTCAGGAAGGCTCCCACGGAGATGACTGGGTCAGGTAATGCTGCCCTGTGGACACAGGGACCTGAGTTCAGTCCCAAGCAGCCAGAGCAGAAGCTGGTGTGGTAAAAACACTTGCAGTTCCATCTCTGGAGAGGCAGAGACAGGAGGGTCCCAGGACCTGATGGACGGCCAGCCTCGCCCAAATGGTGAGCCCAAGCCTGTCTCAAAAGGCAAGGTGGACAGCTCCTGAGGAGTACCCCTGAGGCTGACCTCTGACCTCTATATGTGAGTGTGTGTGCCCCTCAAGCCTGTTTGTTCTGTGGCCTTTTTATGGCCCCTCTCTTTGGTTTCTCTTTGTAGCCCTGGCTGTCCTGGAACTCTCTCTGTAGACCAGGCTGGCCTTGAACTCACAGAGATCCACCTGCCTCTGCCTCCCGAGTGCTGGGATTAAAGGTGTGTGCTACCATCGCCTGGCTATTTACCTCTCATTTTTATTTACTTATAATCTTCAAAAGGATTTATTTTTACTTAAAAAAATTATGTGTATGGGTGTTTTGTCTGCATGTGTGTCTGTGCAGCATGAATGCCAGGTGCCCACAGTGGCCAGAAGAAGGCATCAGGTCCCCTGGAACTGGAGTTACAGTAGGTTGTGAGCCAACATATGGGTTTCATAAACCAAATCTGGTCCTCTGGAAGACCAGAGTGCTTTTAACCACTGAGCCATCCCTCTAACCCAATTTTGATTTTTAATTAATTATGTATATGTGTAGTGCACATATTGTCCACAGAGGCCAGTATTGGGTGCCCTGGGCTGGAGCTACAGGTTGTGGTTGTGAGTCACACAACATGTGTGCTAGGAACCAAATTCAGGTCCTTTGGGAGAGCAGCAAGCACTCTTAACCAAAGGACGATCTCTCCGTCTCCCTTCTCTTGTTGTTTTGTGCTGGGAATTCAGCCCCATCCTCACATTAGGCCAGGGCTGTGTCACTGCCCTGGGTCAACAGCCCTTCTCTGCCTCCACCTTCCCTCCTCCTCTGTTTGCTTTGGTTTTTACCAGACAGGGTTTCTCTGTAGCCCTGGCTGTCCTGGAACTCACTCTGCAGACCAGGCTAGACTCGAACTCAGAACCCTTGGAGTGCTGGGATCAAAGGCATGTGCCACCACTGCCTAGCCTCCTATTTTTTTAACATAGGGTTTCATTCTGTAGCCCAGGCTGCAGAGACTCATGATACCTGCCCCAGCCTCCTGAGTAGCTGGGAAAGTGAGCCTGTACCACTAGGCCCCGCCCCTCGCCCCTCATTTAAAAAGGTTATTTTATTTCCTGTTAGCGTCTGTGTGGATGTGGGTGTGCACATGGAGATCACAGGGGTGGCCTTTGCAAGCCTTGAGCCATGGAGATCACAGGGGTGGCCTTTGCAAGCCTTGAGCCTGCAGCACATGCCTGGCACCCCGAGACAAGCAGACACTGGGGAACAGGCTCCTCCTCTCCCTGCAGGCAGCTTCTTGAAGCACTCAACAACCCTCACAAACCGGCAGCGTGGGAATGAGGTCTCGGCGCTGCCAGCTACCCTGGATTGTAAGTAGAACTCGAGGAGGGGTGGGGGGGGGCTATAGGATTCCTTACAAGCCTGGCATGGCATCCCAGGGCCCAGCACTCGGGAGGTGGAGGCTGGGGGGTCAGAAGTTCAAGGACATCCCTGGCTACTTACTGAGCTGGAGGTCAGCCTAGACAAAGAAAAGCCGTAAGGGAGGGAGGAATGTGGCTCAGCTGGTGTCTGCTCACCGGCATGCACAGAGTTCTGACTTCACCCCAAGCTCCTCATAAACTGAGAATAGTAGCACGTACCTGTCACTCAGCACTCAGGAGGATCAGCAGTCCCAGGTCATCCTTGGCTACATAGCAAGTTGCAGGGTAAACTGAGACAGGCCTGGGGAGGGGTGGAGGGGGTGAGCACTGTGCCTGTCTCTGGTCCCAGCTCTGTCCATCCACCAGCTTGCAGCCCAAGGGGAGCTGAGCCAGCTGAAGGACCATCTGCGGAAGGGTGCGTGTCCTGTGTGCATGCACATGCCTGTCGGGTAGGGGAACTTATATGTGAGTGGCTTGTGTGTACAAGTATGTTTTGTGTGTGTTCCCGTTCATGTGACCCCCGAACCCTGCCCACCCCACTCATGAGAGTGCAGTTTTGTCATCTCCCACCCCATGTCCCTCCCACTTGTCAGGTGACAACCTGATCAACAAACCAGATGAGCGTGGCTTTACCCCCCTCATCTGGGCCTCAGCCTTTGGAGAAATTGAGACAGTTCGCTGCCTGCTAGACTGGGTACGTCCTGGGGACGCGGGGACAGGCTGGGCCCGAAGCCTCTGAAGCTGCTGCCTTTGAGATGGGCTGTCCCACTTAAGATTTCTGCTTCCCTAGGGTGCTGACCCTCACATCCTGGCCAAGGAGAGGGAGAGCGCCCTGTCGCTTGCCAGCATGGGCGGTTACACCGACATTGTGAGGCTGTTGCTTGAACGTGATGTGGACATCAACATCTATGACTGGGTGAGCACTGCCGCCTGGATCTGTCATGGCCCCTAAGCTTCCATTCCTGCTCCACATGGATGGAGTCCCTGGGAGGTGCTAGGCCTGCCCTGGGTTCTGGGAACACAGGACAACTGTTATCATAGCTGGTAAGAGTCCCCATTGTCTGGGAGACAGATGCACAAAGAGAATGAGTAGAGCTGTGAGGGCAGGCTCACCAGCAGCTGCAGGAGCCCCAAAGCCGTGAGAAGTCAGGGAGGGCTACCTGGAAGAATGGGCGTCTAAGAGACACAGCATGAGAGCCCATGTGGTAGACAGCAAGTGGGTGAATTGGCAGCCAGGGCAGGGGCAATGGTTTTCACCTAGTCTTATCCCACAGAACGGGGGCACACCACTACTTTACGCTGTGCGTGGGAACCATGTGAAGTGTGTGGAGGCCTTACTGGGTGAGTAGGAGATCACTGGGCACTTTGGGAATCCTGGACTCCAAAAGTAGACAAGAAGAGGCAGAGCAGTATGTGGGCTTTCATGTTCGATCCAGTCAGCCACACTGCCCCCCCCAACCCCCCAGGGACTCTAAATCCTAAGTCCTGTTCTTTGGGTAGGGGGCACTGAGGTCTTGCCACTGCCCAAGGTCACTGCAGACCTATAGCTGTACCATGGGGGGGGGGGGTCATTTCAGCCCTGCAGCCCCCAAGCCCTGTGCCCAGTGTTGGTTCTGCTTTGCAGCCCGGGGCGCTGACCTCACCACAGAGGCTGACTCTGGCTACACCCCAATGGACCTTGCAGTGGCCCTGGGATACCGCAAAGGTGGGCTTGAGATCCTGGGGTGGATGGAGGGACCGTGTGTGGGGTGGTCACAGAGGGGTACACAGGATGCTCCCCGAAGGTGCTAGATGATGCCCTTTAGCACCCTGGCACCTCCTCATCCTGGCTCTTGGCACTTGGGCTGTGGTCGGGACACCTGTACCTGACAGGGATGGAAGCCACTCTCGGGTACACAGACTCGCAGAGATACTAACAGCCCCAGCTCAGCTCCAGGGTAGGTGTAGATCTTAGTCCTCCCTGGCACAGGCACGCACCGTGACACACGGTGCTGGGGTGAGCACTGAGGCCACCCCAAACTTGTATCTATTTCTGCTGCTCTAACAGAATACAAGATAGAAGGTTTTATTTAGACTCATGGTTCTGGAGGCAGGAGAGCTGCAGCCCTGTGGCCACGCTGGCTGAGGGTCTGGTATTGCTTTGACTGAGTGCGGAGCAAGAGTGGGTGTGGGGCAGGAAGCCGAGAGAAGCCGGGAGGCCGTGTCTGAAAACAGCCGATTCTCGGAGCTCTGCCCTGCCCTGCCCAGCTGGAGCAAAGCCCACTTGTGAAGGGCCCCAGCCTGAGCTGAGCACCTCTGGGGCCTCCTGAGCAGTCTCCCCAGCCCCTGTCCCACTCATACCTCCTCCCACAGTGCAACAGGTGATGGAGAGCCACATCCTCAAACTGTTCCAGAGTACCCTCGGGCCTGCCGACCCCGAGTGAAGACAGCCTGTTGGGAACCCAGGCACTCAGGGAACAAACCAGTCTGCCCACAACTGGCTCGAGGCAGCTCCTGGACAGTGGCGGGAAGGGGCCTGCCCCAACAAGAACCAATAAATCTGTGGAGATCTTGAAGGGCTTCCAGGTGCCTCCCAGGGGGCTTCCTGGAGGAGGTGACCGCCGATAGCTCTCATACTGCTTTCTCACCCAGCACCCGCAGGTGGTAGATGACCACACGGCCAAAAAAGTCGGTGGTGTCCTCAAAGGTCAACTTCAGTCGATCCACCTCCACAGTGGGGATGGAGAAGGTGTGGCCTCTTGCAGTCAAGGAAATGGTGACTTTGTTTCTGACCGACCAGGCCACCTTCCCAGTTCAGACGCCACCCAATGGACTACAGACCCTTTCTTGGTGCCTCTCATACCCAGCAAGAAATCAACAGCACCTTTCCCCCTATCCCTCACGGGGTTTTTCTGTGTAGCTCTGGCTGTCCTGGACCTCACTCTGTAGACCAGGCTGGCCTCAAACTCAGAGATCCACCCGGCTCTGCCTCCCGAGTACTGGATTAAAGGTGTGCGCCACCATTGCCCGGACCACCTTATTTTTTTTTTATACATGGGGTGGCCTCAAACTCACTGTGTAGCTGAGGACTACCTTGAACTCCTGACCCTCCTACGTATACCTCCGGAGCACTAAAGCTCCATGTAATAGCTCCTACTCAGATGTAGGAGGCCAACGCTTTAATTCTTTGGAGACAGTATGGTTATGTGGCCAGGCTGGCCTAACATTTTAGATCCTTCACCTCAGCCTCTCCAGTGCTTGTACCACCACACCCTCCAGAGCCAAGCCTTTTAGAAGACCACGTCCCTCAGACCCCAGGCCAAGCAGGATATTTGAAGAGCGTTGCTGTCCTCAGGGTAGAGGTCCACAATCTTGCTGAGGGTGTCCTTACCTTGTGAACCTGCAGTGGAGAAAGACAAGCTGAGAATCCAGGGAACCCCTTTGACACCCACCTCTCACGACCTTCCAGTACCTTCCAAGCAGCTGTGGCGACTGGAGAAGCCGCCCTGGAACTGCACCTGCAGCTGTGTGACGTGAACACGCTGGGGAAACTCGAGTGTCACCCACTGGGAGGGGCCCTGGAAGCAGATGGGTACTTGGTAACCACAGGGTAAGGGCCTGTTACGCTCTGCTCAGTCCCACGGCCACAGCCAGTCCAGGGAGAGTGAGCATGCGGTCATTTCTAGTTCTCCCCAAAATTCTCAAGGCACCCTGCACCCCGAATCTGCTTCACACTCGGAATGGAGGGGCGTGGACGCGCCTCACCTGGTCCGAGTTCCAGCACGTCTCCTCATCCTGGTCAAAAAGATGTTTCTTCCCAAACTGCCGGCTGTTGCGATGAAGCACAGAACTCACCCTGCAGGACAGGCGCAGGGCTGGGGGCCTCGGCGTGACTGTGAGCCACCCTCCAGGCCAGCCCCAGCCCAAGAACTGCCACCAACAGTCCGGAACAAGACCACCGGACCTCGCCCGGCCAGGGACTCGGCCGCCTGGCCCCGCCCCCGGCCAGGGACACGGCCGCCTGGCCCCGCCCCCGGCCGCCTGGCCCCGCCCCCGGCCGCCTGGCCCCACCCGACCCCAGGTCGGGACCCCAGATCCCAGCTGGCCTCACCACCGCGGCTCAGCTCCCAGTTCATCCGCCCCGAGTCCCACAGCCCCCGAGCCTCACCTGCTCACGGTCTCGGGGCAAACCAAAGACTGGCTCATCTCGGCTCTGCGACGCCTCGCCCAGAGCTCGCGCGAGTTCGAACTCCGGCGCTGCCACTCCCCACTTGACCCAGGTGACAAGGCGGGTGATCCGGAACCGGAGAGACAGAAGCGGCCGCCTAAACCTTACAGCCTAGCCCGCGTCTTTGCAGATCTGCGAACCCGACACCAGGACCCGGAACCGCGTGCGGACAGCGCACGCGCAGTGTAGCCAGGCCCACCCCTGCATCCGCGGTGCCGGGGCGGGGTTGGTGGCGACTTCGCTTCGCCTCTTAAAGAGCCCGCACCCCGAGGTTCCTCATTCCGTGGAGCTGGAGGGAAAACGCAGACAGCCCCGCTCCCGGAAACGAAACGTTCTCACACAGCCTTCTTGTGATCGCGTCTCCTGCGGAAGGCCTCCCTCGCCGCGGATGCAATCCAGCTCCCCCAGCAGGGTTGGGAGGGCGCCTGCCGCCCCTCGGGAGGCTAAGCAGGATTGCATGTTTCATGCCAACATGGACAATTTAGCAAGATGTCTCAAAATTATTTTTGGTATATAATATATTCCTTAATGTATCTTGTGTGTGTGAGGGCTTTGTCTGCATGTATGCCTGTGTACCACTTGCATGCCTGGTGTTTGAATGAGACTCCATGTGGGTGCTGAGAATCGAACCCCAGTCCTTGGAAAGAACAACAAGTGACCTTAACCACAGAGCCAACTCTTAAGCCCTTAAATGTGCTTTTTGAGGGGTTAGGAATTTAGCTCAGTGGTAGAGCGCTTGCCTAGCAAACACAAGGCCCTGGGTTCGGTCCTCAGCTCTGTAAAAAAAAAAAAAAAAAAAAAAGTCACGGTGAAACCAGATGCTCTGTAGGCTAATTTAAAAAAAAAAAAAAATGTGGTTTTTGAGAAAGGGTCTCTTGTAGACTTGGCTGCCTGGAACTCCCAGAAATCCTCCTGCCTCTGCCTCCACACCCTGCTGTGGGATTTAAATATATTTTTTTAATTAAAAACATTTTATTGCTGGGCGATGGTGGTGCACGCCTTTAATCCCAGGCTCAGGAGGCAGCGGCAGGCAAATCTGTGATTGAGGCCAGCTTGATCTACAGAAGAGTGCCAGGAAATCCAGGGTTATAGAAAGAAACCCTGTCTCAAAAAACAAAACAACAACAAAAAACCATTTTATTTAATGTGTAATGAGTTTTTCTTGAATGTTCATATACCATGCATGTCTGGTACCTCTCCCTCTAGAAGAGGACATCGGATCTTCCCGTGTCGGTCCTCTGCAAGAGTAAAGCGCTCTTAACCACTCTCCAGCCCCTAATTTTTTTTATTACATTTATTTGTATAAGTCAGAGCACAACGTGTTAGGAATTGGTTTTCTCCTTACACCACATGGATCCTGGGGACTGAGCTTGAGTAATCAGGCTTGGCCATGCCCTCAGCTAAGGATGTAGTTCAGTGACCGAAGGCTACCAGAAACTGCTAGGTGCTGAGTTAGTTCCATCGCCAGCCCCGAATGAAGTGGTAAGTCTCAGCAAATGGTGTCCTAGCACGTTATGGAAGGCTTGTTCAGAGAATCAGCATAGGAGGGTTTTGTAGGATGAACAGCTTATCCCAGTGGGAACAAAACAAAACCAGACTCAGACACCCCAAACCTCGTGGGTTCAGGGATGAACCACAAGGACAAACAGGCTGAGGAAGCCCTGAAGGGAGGGCTTTCTGGGGGGGACACGTAGTGGGAACGAGTTCCAGGCCAGGGACTGGAAAAGTAAAGGCAGAGACTCAGATGACAGACCTGTGGAGCCACTGCGCCCTGGGCTGGAGCAGCTTTGGGGAGAGGGTTGGACCCCCACCTCTGTGAATTAAGACTCAAGCTAGAGCAGTCCCTGGCCTGGGGTTGAATGGTCTTAGATCTTTTCCTCTTTGTACTAGGGCCAGGAGGGTTCCCAAGGCATCTAGTGTTCCCCCAAGCCCACCCCAGGAAGCAGGGCTGGCAGGCTAACTGGGTCACCATCGGGAGAGCTGCCCTGCTAGCCTGTAAATGCCAGGACTTCGGTTATGGGTCCCATCCAGACCTAGCTTAGCAGTCCTCCAAGGGCTGTGGAGGAAGCGTGTGTAGTGAAAAGCTTGGCTGTGTGATCTCAGACAAACATTTGACCTCTGAGCTCAGCTTCCTGTCAGTGGAGAGCAGGCTGTTTGGTTGATGCCTAGTAACAATGAGACACTGGGACTCAGACAAGGTCTGTCTCCAGGCACAGGCTCGTCATTATCCTGCCTAGGGCTGTCTGGTATCACTCCTATGGCACTGAATGCAAAAAACGTGGCCATGGTGCCTGAAGGCTGCATACAATCCCAGCCGGATCCTTCCTATATCGCTCCTGGCTCTGGCAGGAGGCTGCCTGGCCCCCTGGGACATGGCCAGCTCCCTACCCTCTTCCCGCCTCCTCACCCCACTGGCGCCTGGGCATGAAAGAGCCTCCTGTTTCACCAGGGAATTAGTAGTTCTGAGTTCCCAGTGAGGCAGCCAACGTGGTCCATTCATCCGCCTAAGGAAGGGAGCCCGGAGCCGCCCCCTTCCCACCGCTCTACAGGCCCGAGGCAGGGAGGTGCCATGAGGACCGGATCTGCCTATTCATTCGCTCTCCATTTTTTTCCTGTTTGTTTGTTTGTTTGTTTGTTTGTTTGTTTGTTTGTTTGTTTGTTTCAAGACAGGGTCTCACTGTGTAGCTCTGTCTGTCCTGTAACTCACTCTGTAGACCAGGCTGACTTAGAACTCTCCGAGATCCTCCTGCCTCTGCCTCCCACGTGTTTGGATTAAAGGAATGCACCACTATGCCTGGTTTTCTTTTTCTCTCTTTCTTTTCTTTCTTTCTTTCTCTCTCTCTCTTTCTTTCTTTCTTTCTTTCTTTCTTTCGACAGAGTTGCTGGCCTCAAATTCATTATGCAGCCAAAAATAGCCTCAGGCTCCCAGTCCCTCTCAGGTGGTTGGTGGCATTGTGTGTGACTGTCTACATGTGACCATGGACAGCTAGAGGGATATTGCCCCAAGACCTGGTTGTCCAGGAGCTTCCTGCCACCCATGTGGCCTCTGGGCCATTCATCCCCACCACCCCCCTTACCTCATCCCCTGATGGCAGCCCCAGGGTGCTTGAGACAGAAAAGGCCTTCCAGGCTGGAGGTAGGGACTTTCTGGATCCCAGAGTGGGCCTATAAATAGCTCTTTGAGCCTTACGGATTCCCAGGCAAGGTTCCCTCACTCAAGACCCCGGCAACAGCAGGTCTGGGCACGGGGCCAGTCCTCTCTTTTCAGCCCTGGCACCAGCCCAGGAATGGGGTTGGTGCGAAACTGGAGGGTCAGCTTGGCTCTGGGACTGCAGACAAGGTCTGTGC